GTCTTGGTACATTGTGTTTGTTTCGGTTAGTAGTGGATCTAAACATTACTATAATTGTTATTTTTATATATTTTTAAGTCTTTTTTATAATCTATTGTTTATATTTTTTATAATCTATTGTGTATTAAGGTTGCATTAAGGTTATGCTATTTAGCAATTAACAAAAGCCTCCCTGGATTTACTGCTTATTGTTTGACGATAGAGTCACGCTTAGAGTGCACACCTGAGGACAGTGCTACCCAAGGCAGAAATCAATGCTGGTTCACATTTACGAATCCTAGTTTGTTTGAGATACAAATAAACAAGAAAATCCCAGGTGTTTATTCACAACTTTATATTTTATCAAAACCTCCACTGCAACAGCAGAAGCAAAGTATCTTTCAAGGTTATTCCTTAGAATAGTCCCATACAGAGTGGTGCAAAACCGGAAGTATCAGCTATTTCAAATGCAAACTCCCCATAAAAAAAATACAGATTAAGGAACAGCACACAGACAAAACAAATACAGTTACATTTTACAGGGCTACTTAAAATCACCTCTCTTGGCAAACAAATATGGGGATTCAGTTACACCATACAGCCATATTGTGTTAAGCCAATTACTACGTCGCAGTACCCCTATATCAGTGGGTCCTGCACTAATTTGATCTTCACAGCAGCACTTCTATTGAGAAATGTATGTTCTGGGTGTGCCCTTATATAAAAAAATATGAGGGATATTTTTAAAGTAACCTATTGGTGGCAGGTGAGGCTATTATTTAACAATGGAGGGATTACCACTGTCATCCCCAGCCCTACACATGGGCTGTGGGCAGGGGCCCTAAAATGTAAGTGTGAGACACTGCCATCCCTGCCTCCTCCCATGAGGTATTATGTTATTAATACTGCCCATCCATAGCCCATGGGTGGAGGGTAAACAATAACATCTTGTTTTAATACCCCACCACCTAAACCAGGGGGTTAATTTCTTTATTTTTATTAGCCACTACCAACCACCCATTGGTAGGAGACAGATTAGTGTCCCTTCGTTTAAATTTCAGAGTTCTCACCCACCAATCATGGGTGGAGGCTATGGTAACATTAGCCAGCCCCCCCGCCATGTTTTATTATAGAACCCACCACCCACAGGCCATGGGTGTAGGCAGGGGGTGGACTGTGACCTTTCCATCTCCATTTTTTTTTTTGTATCTGCCCCCGCTGAATTCCCGCAGGTGGTATGGGGAAATAGTGAGAGGTTTCCCTTTGTATTTAAAAGGCCCTATCCACTTTTCTAGTGGGAAGCAATATCTGTCCAGTTTTTACTTAGAGTGAGCAGCTGCCGGTCCCCTGTTTGTTTTAATACCCCCAAGGGTATTTAATATATTAAATGAAGGACTTTTCTTAATATTGATCTTTCAACAGTTAAGCAGATAACTCCCTAACTTGGTACTTTGCAACTTCATTAATTTCCCTTAGGGAATAATAAGCGTGCATGTTATGGAGATTAACATTTTCAGGTCATACGATTGATATTTTCCATATTCCAAATGATCCGAAATTTGAATATTAATAAAAAAAAAAAAAGATTCCCCCCTTGCACATCTCTAGAATGTATTAACTGTAGTAAATGGCTGTTAAGTTATATTTAATAGTAGCTATGTATTCTAATGTATCTACCTGGTAGAAGTGCTGGGGTGCTTACAGTTGAATAAATGGTACTGCCCTGCATTTTGTGTTAGAATAAAAAGGAATTTTACACTTTATTTTGGACAGTAGTATTACCTGTTGAGAACCTGTTACAACCTGCAGCCATTTCATCAAGGACGACTTCATTCAGACAGGTTACATAGCAAAAACTCTATTTATGATATTGGTTCGGATCTGTCATCTCACAAAATTTATGCAGGATGGGCATCGTGACAGATGGGATACTAAGACTGCAGCCAGAGGAAATATCAAAATACATTAAAAAGTACATATAAAAATAGACCTGCCATCTGTAAACTCCACTGGCTCTGTTCAAAAAAGGTCAAGAGTGAGCAAATTACATTCTTAAAGAACCATTAACCTCAACAGTGAGATGTGCAGGATGGATGTCAAGTAATCATTGTGTTACAAAAAGTTCTGCTCAGATTCAAACTTTTGTTAATGTGTTTTTTGGTACAAATCAAAGAGTATCTGTTGTATATTTTCTGTCTGTCTGTCTGTCTGTCTATCTATCTATGACGAAATGCCTTTTGTTACTGGATTGTTAGGTGACAAGCTGCCCTTTGCCCCCGGCTGTTGGAGGAGCCTGATTTCCAGCCTCCTCTCTCATGACTATGGCCCTGGGGTGTATTGCCATTTAAAAAGACTATTTGGGGCTTATTGGCTTCTAAAGACTGTTTCTGCCCATTTAAATCCATGGGAAGGTGTGTCTCTTCTCCTCCCCGTTTCCTGTCTTTTGTTCTCCAGCAGGGCGTTGTCCCAGGCACACTGCCAAACCAGTTGGAACTGACTGCTTTTGTCCCTCCTTGGTCTCTCAACTATGCTTTACCTCATGGCAAATTTACTCTGTTCATGGGATCTGAGCGCTATTCACCGAGATTGGGCGCTCAGATCCGAGCTATCTGGGGATAGGTTAAATGTGGGGGTTCTGTGTAATATAATAAGAATTATGTAATTTTATGTACTTTTACGTATTTTTGCTGTTAGTGTAAAATGTTGATATTTTCCGTACCTGGAGATAATTGAGTTTACTGCAGTGCCTTAAGCCAATTAGCTCCAGGATGGAGAGGAGGGATTTCATTGTGTATGTGGGAGTGTTATTATGTTAATTAGTGTTCCCATTGGTTTGTGTCCCTTTTGTCACAGTTTACCACCAGGTCCAGGGGGTGTGCCTCTGGCCTGAAAACTTGTATATAAGGAGTAATAAACGCTCATTGGAGTCAGATCATCTTGTACCTTCATGAAGTTTTGGCTCATGTCTGGGGGATTGGAGAACTACACTCTGGGGATTGCTATAATCACTATACTCCCCAGGGTATAATCACTAAGCTCTGCTAAGAGCTTGTTCCTGTTCCTGCTCTCTGGAATTCGGAGTGGTTGACCTACTGGAAGCTGGACCCTGGTCTTGGGTCCAGTGTGGGTGGAGACGGCGAGACCCCAACCAAGCTGCGGCGATTTGTGGGAGTCTACAGTGTTTATGGTGTCTGGCAGAGTGCTTGGAGTCCTCGGAAAGCACTAGGAGCATCTATCAACGGAAAGTACCCGGTCGGGGTGCCAGCGGTTCCATTACACTATCTATCTATCTATCCTTTATCTATCTGTCCGTCTGTCCATCTGTCTGTCTATCTATCTATCTATCTATCTATCCTAGTGAAATATGTTTATATTTTATGGCTATAGATTCATTTATCCCTGTAATTACCAGTTTATTTTCATGAAAACAGAAATCTCTTAACATGTATTTATTTGAAAGCCAACACATGTACAACAGCAATTTTGTATAAAGGCTGCTTTATAGGGATATTGTAAAAAATTAAAATGATGTATATCACCCCCTCTGTTCCTGTGCGTCCATTTGTCTGGTTACAATTACGTGTCTGTTAGTCCACCCATTGCACAGCGCTACGGAATTTGCTGGAGCTACATAAATAATAAAATAATAATAGTTTACATAATTCTAATTTTTATTTTGTTAATTTTTACTTGACAGAAATAGAGAGTGTGTGTGTGTGTGCATGTTAACATATTTTACAGATTGTATGATGCCTGTCAATGTTATACCATGTCTAACACATTAGCATTGAATCTGAAATTTTTTTGTTACATATAGTAAGTGTAACAAAAGAGGTAAAGCATGTATGATACTTGTATGTATTCTCAGGAATCTAGTGGAATTTCTTAGAATGCTTGTATAATATAAAAAAGTTTGTAGGGGGGCATAATGCACACATGCACAAAGTAACATTACACCGAACATCTACTTTATGTATTGAACACTAGTGGCGGCTTATGCAGAATGAAAAAAAATATCTGTAGTGTACTTACCTTCTTTACTGACTCCTACAATTCAGCCATGATGTTTAAAATACAACATTTTCAATAGACTTAGACAACATCTTTATTTATTTAACCATTCTTAATAAGCAGTTTTATTCAGTCAAGCCAACTCAGCACCACGTTTTATTGTATGAATACATGCAATATACAACACATCTTAAATAAATAGAAAAAATAAAAATGCATTGTTTAAATTCATTGCAAACTCTTATAAATGTCAGTATTATATCTGGAGATTCATATCAGTCTAACTGAAATCCACCTGAATTTGGGCCAGTCAGGCGATAGGCCGAATGCCTCAAGTCAGAGTCGAAATGTAGATGAAGCACGAACCAACCAAAACGTGCAATGGTCGAACATGATTGTTCTTGATTTGTGATCCCCTGTTCCGTCTGTGGCACCAAAAAAGGCTATTATTAATAGGGAAAAGAAGCGTTCTGCTTCATTCTGGAACATGGAATGATGCTCGGTATCATTGCAATCGGTTAGTTGGCTAGTTTGAGGAAAGCCCATGTAATTTTCGATACATGCTCATGAGCATATACCCACACCCTAAAAAAAACCTGCCTTTACATTAAGTGACAAACAGTTAGCACTCATCAATCCAGAATTGGTCTAAGCATCTATAGACAGATCTATCAAAAACTTAAGAACAACTTAATGAATCTATGGAGCAAATAAAGGGTTACCCCAACCACCATGACCATTTCTGCTTTTAAAAGTGGACATGGTGGTGGGAATCAGTATGTGCAACATTTCTGCTTGAAAGGCTACAGATACAGAATAATTTGCACTTTCGTGCAGGAGGCTCGTCACATTCCTGGCACAAAACTATGTTCCAGGCTGTCTATGGTAACTTCTGTGCAAAACCACATCTGTCGTCAGTCCCCACCCCGCCCTTCATGCGCTCCCCCACCTCTCTCCAGTGAAAGTTCCAGATATATTTAAAGCTTCTTTTGCAGGTTTATAAGGGTTGATCCTATTGAATAATGCCCCGTAGGCCATCCTAAAGTTAAAAAAATGTACAGTAACCACTTAACATATGCAAAGTATTAAATTCACTATAAATTAAGACACCCAGTCCATCTGCAAACCAAAGGACATCTGTTCCTTAGTTTAAAGATTCAGTACATCGTCCTCTCCAATTTAATGTGAACTATGACAACGCCATAAAGAGTATAACCCTTTTCACTTAAATGAAGAGGTTTCTCAACATCTGAAAAATACATTGTAAATGTCATTCTTCTATTATCTGTCACTATGGTATATGGAGTGTAATACAATCCAAGGGGCCTATTGCTCGGCTCTAATTTACTGGTGTTTCTCGGGAACATATTTGGTGATAATTTGCTCACTAGGCTAGGTTCTCTCCCTGTTGTATATATTATTAATATCTTCAAAATAAGTTATAAAGTTCAATTCACATTTAATATAACACATATTGTTAAAATAGTCATTGTTTGGCAAAATTATTTACTAAAAGTTAGAGAGATATAGAGAAGACAACCTCGTTATTAGTGCTGGCACCTTAAACCTAATCGCTTTGTAAGTATTTTCCCAACACGGAACAAAACCTCTCTCTCCATCGTATAAGCAATATTTTCAGACCTTTCAACTATCCTTTGAAAGTATGCCATTTTCTAAAATATCATAGCTAACTCTTCAGACCAGAGGTAGGCAACCTTGAGGACTCCAAATGTTGTGGACTTCATCTCCTCTGGTGCATTATTATGGTAGGAGCATTATGGGATATGTAGTCCGTAACATCTGGAGTAGTGGTTTATCTACCCATGCTTTAGACCAGTGGTAGTCAACCTTTTTCTACCTACCGCCCACTAATGCATCTTTCTTGATGGAAAAATTTCCTTACCGCCCACCAGTTTTCGCGCAAGCGCGGAATATTTTTTAGAAAGGAGGTTGTTTTAAAAAAAATAAATAAATGTACGTACATTTATCTTTTTATTTCTACTTTATGCATGTTTATAATGTTTTTAACTTTATAAAGTTTAATTAGAAAACAATAAAGTAAATTGAAATTAGCTTTACTAGTGAGATCCTTGAGGCTGATGCTGCAAGACTAAATATTTGATATCTGGTTCGATTTTCGTATGGAACAAACGAAGGTCTCCTCTTTCGGTGATATTCAGACGGTTTCTCTGTTTGCTCATAATATGATTAACAGCACTAAAGCCTGATTCTACAAGATATGTGGTAGGGAAAGGTATCAATAAATTGAACATCATTTTCCACATATTTGGATATAACGCAGGCATTTTTTTATTTTGTCAGAGTTTTTGGTATCCACCACTGCCAAAATTACATTTACTCTCTTCGTCATATTTAAGTTCTAATAGTTCTTCTTGGCAAGTTATATCAACTTCAGCAACATTTGCTGTAAAAGGATTTATCATCCAGTCATGCACCTTTAAGTTCAAAATATCTTGAAATCGTTTTTCCATATCCAATTTGAGTTCCTTGAGGTGACTACTGAACCTTTCAATATCCCCCGGACTTACATCATTGTTTATAGAGGACAATTCAGGAAACTGATGAAATTCTCTCTTGAAAATATTATGACGGAGAAGATCAAGCTTTTCGATAAATAATGACACAATATTTTTGCAACTTATAAGAGTTATATTGGCTCCTTGAAGCTACAAATTAATGTCATTAAATCTCTTGAAAATGTCTGCCAAATAAAAGGCATCATTCTTTACGTTTTTTAACTGTTCATAGAGACCAGTCTCATTATCACTTTCAAAAAACTGTACGACACTATCAAATAATGCAACAAAACGAGTCAAGCATGTACCCTTTGAGAGCCATCGAACTTCTGTATGTAAAAGTAACCTAATAAACTGCTCGTTATTGTCCTGGCACAGCTGTCGAAACATTCTATCACACTTGGCATTAGATTTTATCTTATTTACAGCTTTAATTATAATACTTAATGATGAATGGAGACTTGTACTTAAATGTTTTCCTACAATATGTTGTCTGTGTACAACACAATGAATACACAAAACGCTTGGCACTTCTTCCTTCAAGTAAGCAACAAACCCACGATAGCGGCCTACCATTGATGGTGCTCCGTCAGTAGCACATGCAACAATATTGTTCAAGGGTATATTGTTTTTTGCAAAGTATGATTTCACAGCATTAAATATTGATAATCCTTTTGTATCTGTAATCAGATTGACAGTGAATAGCATTTCTTCTTGCAATGTATTGTTTTCATCAAGGTACCGTACATATGTCATCAGTAGAGCATTATTATCTGCAATGACAGACTCATCCAATTGTATAGAAAATGACGAATTTTGGAGAATACCTATAAGTTTATTTTCAACATTAGCCGCCATTTCATCAATGCGTCTCTTTACTGTGTTATCGCTAAGGGGCAATGTTTTTAAAACTTCAGGTATATCCTGATGCATTACTGTTGAGATAAATTCTTTGATAGAGGGTATTATCAAAGTTTCTCCAATATTATGGCTTTTACCACTTTTTGCAATTAAGTGTGATATACGATAAGCTGCAGTTAATCCATCCTCATTCTTTGCATGTTGTTTTTGAAAGGATGTAGCTATTGTTGAACGATTTTGAAATCTTTTATAGATTTCTTGAAAATATTCAATGGGCTTATCTTTATCTTGCGAATGCTTTGTAGTAAGATGTTCTCGCAATCGACTTGGCTTCATTGCTTCATTAGATAATGTCTTGTGGCACAGTAAACACATTGGAAGCTGTTTATTTGTAACAGATTCAATGAAACCCATCTTCAGATACTCTGGTAAATAGCCACGAGCGTATTTCTTTTTTTCAGACATGGGTTCTAAATTTGTTTCACAATTTAACAACTACTTTTACTCTTACGTTTTGATCTGCACTCCACACAGTGCTTTTTTCCCTCCTCTTTTCCCTTTTATTACTAACACCAAAAACAATGCTGTATTAGGTGCCAATTTTTATTAATATCACCATCAAAAGAAATTCCTTTTCCTGCCTGCTTCTTTACCTTCCTTATAGTATATCACTATATTAAGGATCTCTTTTTCCTTTTTTTTATTTTCTCCTTCCCTTACTTATTTTTTTCTTTTATTTTATAAGATAACAAAACTTAATTTATGAGCCAGACTAAACACTGCTTACTCTCCTCCTTTATTTTATCCCCTTTTTTCTATTTTTCTTCCTTTTTTTATCTTTTCCTTTTTATCTCCTTTCTTTTACCTTCCTGAGCGACAAAAGTAAGGCTGAGCTAGTTAGCCCACTTATTATTATTAGCCAACAATTCTCTTTCTCTCTTTGCCCTTAACTTTTCTTTTTCAACTCCTCTGCTCCGTTTCAGCCTGCTTCTGCCTGTCCCTGCTATCAGTTTCCACTCCTCCCCTAAACAATTCTCTTTCTCCTGCCTATAACTTTTCTTTTTCAACTCCTCTGCTCTGTTTCAGCCTGCTTCTGCCTGTCCCTGCTATCAGTTTCCACTCCTCCCCTAAACAATTCTCTTTCTCCTGCCTATAACTTTTCTTTTTCAACTCCTCTGCTCTGTTTCAGCCTGCTTCTGCCTGTCCCTGCTATCAGTTTCCACTCCTCCCCTAAACAATTCTCTTTCTCCTGCCTATAACTTTTCTTTTTCAACTCCTCTGCTCCGTTTCAGCCTGCTTCTGCCTGTCCCTGCTATCAGTTTCAACTCCTCCCCTTCCTCTTCCCACGTGTTTGCGTGCGCTCGCTCCCGCCCGACAACTTCTCACACAAAAGGAGGTTGACTGATGTGTGCGCTCGCGCCCGGCTGCACCGCCCGCCCACTCGCTCGCGTTGGTTTCTTGATGTGTGCGCTCGCTCGCGCGCCCGCCCGCTCGCGCGCTCGCTCAAAAGGAGGTTTTAACCTCCAAAGTCCCTACCGCCCACCTGGAATCCCAAAACGCCCACTAGTGGGCGGTAGGGACCAGGTTGACGACCCATGCTTTAGACTGTATCGGTTTATCAGTTCTGCTTTAAGAGTTAATGCTTTTCATGGATGATTCTCGATTGGAAATCCCATGTGGCTGAATTATATATCAGTGTTCACGTGACAGTGTCTGGTTTTGATGACTGTAATACGGTTTCACGGCTTGTTTCCCAAAATAATCAACTGGGTTTATGGTATGTAAAGTGTTTAATCGTGTATCCAAAATAAATAATATTCTCAATAAAGTAATCCTTGTGTACGTAAATAAGCAATATTTTTGGGTATACTTATATGCATTTTGTGATGCAGAGAGACCTACGCTGAAAAATTCAAACCATTCAAGACAGTCAGTGTAATATGTATTATTGAAAAATGCCAACACAGAGGACAGTCTGCAGAAAGTATCTTACATAAATAGTTTTCATTGCTCACCAAACACTAAATGGATTTCAACCCATCATAAGACAAGTAAATGATCTACAGGTAAAGCATGTAATGAACCATTATCAAAAACCTAATGTGACGTACTGCAACTTAAATAAAATGATTGTAATCTTAATAGAATAACTGGGATTCCCAGATAGAGATGTCGCGAACCGTTCGCGAACTTCCCGCGAACGGCTCGCCACGGTTCGCCACGAACCGTTCGCGGCGAGCTCCGGTCAGCTGACACATCCCGGCCAATCTCCAGCAGACCCTCCCTCCCAGACCCTCCCGCCTCCTGGACAGCATCCATGTTGAAGCTGCCTTCCATGGATGCTGTCCAGGAGGTGGGAAGGTCTGGGAGGGAGGGTCTTCTGGAGATTGGCCGGGATGTGTCAGCTGACCGTTCGCGGGAAGTTCGCGAACTGTTTGCGACATCACTATTCCGAGAGACTGCTACTTGCACACTGGATCAACGCCGATAAAAAAGTAAATCTAATATTAGATTTCTGAACAGAAAGAAAATTCTATTCGGCCAAATCATTTTTTTCAAAAAAGATAAAAAATCAGAACAGCCAAATTATGGCCAAATATCGGTTCAGCTTGACAGAATTTTGGTATTAAAAAATTGATTTGGGAAACAAATCAGTCAACCCAAAAAGGTGCAAAAATGGGCCAATCAATGTACTGAAAAATAAATATATAAGCTTTATATTATTATTAACATTAATATTATTACCATTTTATTATTATTAACATTAATATTAATATCATTATTATTATTATATATACATTTTGCAGCACACTGATAGGTGCATTTTCTCACCATTT